CTAGAAATATGATAACTCAGACCAGAGTTAATAGAGGGAACTGGTTATGAAAGCCGGCGGACTTCAGACGATGGAACTCTTTGTGTTGGTTTATGGCATGTCACATGACCGCGAAGGTGCACAAAATATGAAGATGGCGACCAGCGTGTAGGCTTGCTTCGAGTTTATTCTTTTTTTACGGATGATCTAGAAATAATCTAGCTGAAATATTATCTTAAGAGGATTCATAAGTGATGCCAGGGGTCAACTGCTCCGTCCTTGGCTGCGGATCGTGCAGACGATCGCAGGGAATAGAAATTTTTAAGCTGCCTGTCGCGATTCGCGACAGGCAGCTTAAAAAGACGAGGCTCATCGAAAATGGCGCAACAACTGGCTCGGAGAAGTAATAAAAGCATGCAAATTCGACAAGGATTTCAGGGAGCAGATAAAAAACGACAAAGTACACGCTTGCGAGAAACACTTCAAACCCGAGGATATTGAAATATGTAAGTGTCACTTTACTTTCAGTCCGACATGTTAAAAGAGCTATTTCCAATTATTATTGATGCTTTTTATTTTTTGACAGGTTTAGAAAAAATAAGATGTGGCAGACAGGATCAGTGCACAGGCAGCTGGATTTTTTTTTAAATGATAATCTATGACAAATATCTCCTTACTCAAATTATTCCAAGTCATTCGTGGTTATGTTATTAAATTTAATATTAATTATTAATCATCAACATTTTGTTACAGGTTTCACTTCTTCATCAGTTTGGTTACAATAGTAACACTATTAGAATAGAGGGATCTATTTCATGTCAGAGTGGCAATACCAAAGGAAGGAAAGATAGGAAGAAATCTTGGGAACAGGTTACCAATGCCAAGTTGCCATGCCAAAAAAAAAGTCAAACTGTAAAAATGCTGCGTACTAGCATGACTGCCACAGAATTTTTAAATACCCTGACAAAAGAAGAAGAATTTTTTTTCCCTTTATCATTAATTTTCCTGACCTGTGTCTTGCTAGTCACTCGGCTGAAGAGAGCAATTGTTAAAAAAATGCACCACCCTGTTGAAGACAACTACAATTGCAGGGTGAGTCCCTTTTGAGGATTTTGGAATTCCAGAGTCTGGCTATGCTACTGTATTTAAGTGTGACAGAAGTATGCTAATTAAGCAGCCGGAAAGGAATTGGCATGTTGTTGTGTTGCTATTTCTATTTTCTTCAATAAATGATTAAAATTTCATTGATGTCTAACTGCTTTTCTTTGTTCGATTATCTTATAAAACTTGGATCAACATTTGCCAGCCATTCCAACTCTTCATCATCACAAAAAGGATTCAAATTGTCCACCATTTTTTTTGGAACTTCAATCTAATCCATCACTTGCGTGATGCGAGAAAACCTGTCTAACTGGTTCTCTGGAGTACAAAGACCACATGATATTTGTAGTTGTCTTGAGTGATATTTGTAGTCTATGGAGTCCAGTTGGATAATAACTAGTTTTATTATTATTATTATCATTAGAAGTGTTATTGTTGCTATATATGGTTATTAATCTTATTCAAGCTCTCTAAAGGTTGAGTTTTATTCAGATCTCAACACTAACAGCAGCCAACTAGCCACAGGCCAGTAGAAATTCAGTTTTGGCCAGTGATTTTCGATTTCTACTGGCCAGTTTGGCTAGTAAACAAACTGAAATTGTTGTAACATCTAAGTTGTCACTAGCCACTTGGCTAGTAAGTTGAAAAGTTGCTGTTGAGCCCTGTTATTTTGTCCAGAACTAAATTACTTATTTAAGCAGTATTTTCCCCTTAAAATGAAGAATTTGCTCAGAGCCAAGATCTGGCCTATCCCGGTTATAGAGCATCGCCAAGAGTAAGGAAATTCCCTTAAAATGAGATGCAGTCCACTGATTGGAAGATATCCTCTGGTATTCTCTGAGGTTTTCTGAACAATTTGATAGTGCCCCATCCACATGTTTGTACACCATGGTGGAGAAGGATTTTGTGAGGATAAATTGTTTCATTCAATCAGGGGTCCAGAGTAATACCGGTACTTATTGCCAATCATGATTGTTAACTTTGAGCTTAGAATTTCTCGACTACAAGAAAGTTTAATAAATGTTATAAATTAATCACTCTGCTTTGCCACTTTAATTAAACTAAATACAAATTTCTTGTCTTAACTAGTGGAGAGATGATAGAGGGAATTCTTGCATTTTGGGAAACCAAGAGGAAAGAATTCGATAGACGTCATCAGGGAAAAGAACTTGGTAAAGCCAAAAGGGACCAAGACGAGAGACAGGCACAAGATATTGTCAATCAAATCAAAGAAGACAGAGCTAAAGAGCGTGCCCACAGGGAAGCTGTGCAGCAGCAGATTGCTATAGGGTTAAAGTGGAGAGGGAAGCTAGGAGACAGAATGATGCACAGGAGAGACAGCGCGCTCAGGCTGCCTCAGTCTCACCTTCACCTACCATGACTGATGGCAGTGAGAGGCTGGGAAAGAGTGAGTGGTAAGTAAGGTAGAAATGCAATGAAACATGCCATTTGTAAAGGTTTAGAGTTCTTAAATATCCTTCACTTATATTATGAAAGTAATTAAAGTATGTCAGCTATTACTTCAGGTACAATTTTATATTATAATGTCAATAACTACTTTGTACATGTTCATGTGACAGAGACTTTTTGTTTTTTACTCAGCATTTCTGCTCCGCTCCAGTTTCGTCTTCCAGATGGCAGTTCATTAACCAACTCTTTCCCAGCAGATACTCCTTTGGAGACCATACGTCAGTATATCATTACTGCAAGTGGTTGACTTTTTCATGTACTTGTATAACAATTAGGAGAATTTAATGTGCTTTCAGGGAATTCTATTTAGATTAGTACGGGAGAATTCTGTGTTAAATATACTTCAACTACAATTGTTAGGTTCTTATTTTAGGGGTAGAAAAAAATTTTTCTTAATTTTCCACTTGTTAGTTCTACATTAGATTCTTGATTTTCTGCAACCTTGCCCATGTGTGTCCAAATAAGAATTCCCTTTAAGACCATTTGGTATTTGTTAATTGTCCTTGCAACTATAAACCTTTCCAAAATATGATCGAGTTCTTTTGAGCAAACATGTCATGTTAAACTACCAATTTTTTTTTATGATTATTAATGTGGTCTTTTCAATTGTTCTCAGCAACTAGGACTCAGCACTAGCTCAATAACACTGTACACCACCTACCCCAGGCGAGAGCTGACTGAGGAAGACCTGGGAAAGAGTTTGGCTGAGTTAGGTCTGGCACCAAGTTCAACTTTAATTGTAGCTGTGGTGAGTTTGAGATCAACATAAGGTTTTCTGTAAACCACCGGCATTGAAAAGAGTGAACATTACATGGGAACCTTGTTTATGGCTTGGTCCACCCATGAGTTCTGTGTTTATATGAATGTATGAGTTATAGTTGCAATTTTAGAAAATAAAAGCAGGGTTGTGTTTTAGAAAAGCTTGAGTGCCACAGGCATCCAACTAAGCAATTTTTTCTTCACTCTCTATGAAAGTTCAACCTTTTCTTGTTATTTTTTTATTTTTCATTGGTTAATTATTACAATAATTGTATTTGTGGAAAATCTTTCTTTTTTCTTTAAGTAAATTTCCAGTTCCCCCCTACCAATCAGAAATTTCACAAAACTTAAAAAGATAAAAGCAATACTAAACTTTCATTTTACAGAAAGGAAGTAAGCCCTCACTCCATCTGGGAACTCATCATTCCCTGAACTGTTGTTATGGATTCTTTCGCCTTTGTTCACATTGATTAACTTCCTGAAGGCTTTCCTATTTGGAAGTCCAGATCAGTCTGGAAGGAATCCTCTTCTGCAGAGAACAAACAGCAGCACACAGTCACCACCATCAAAGTGAGTCTCTCTCTCCATTTTTTTGTTTGCCCTGCATGTGTAAGCAGCTGCACAGTTTGTAGGTCAACTGCATCAAAACTGTTCAGTTGCCTGTTCATTGGTGTCAAGAATGAAACTTTTTCTCAAAAATTAAAAAAAAGGGGGAAAAGAATTCCCTGAAATTAGGTGTAAAGAATTTGATTTACAGTTAATTTTATTGCCCATAATTTTTTTTTTGTCTCAATGGTCAGTGGAAAGTGCTGGAAGATTTAACAACTTATGACTGCTTGAAAGCACAAATTTTATTCCACTGGTGACTTTTGGACTAAATATTTAATAATCACAGTTTGCAAATTTCACAAAAACAAATCTGGTCTCTTGGTTTAGATTGTCATTTTCAAGGAATACAATGTTGTTTTTGTGTGAATTTTGGCACATAAAAACATACCAAAAATAATACAACAAATAAGATAAACAGGCTCTTAGTCAAAGGGAGGGTCATGCAGAACAACTAAACTTCCTCAATCTGCATGCCAATCTTGCTGGTTTTTTTTGTTGTTGTTTTTTTTTTCGTGGCAGTTCTGGTGTACGTCATAGAGTCCCGGATGGTGTTTCATCCATAAAGAAAGAAGGTGGAATTTACCAGCTTCACAACAGAGATGATGAAGATGATGAGAATAACACGTGGAATGGAAACTCAACTCAACAGATGTGACCAAATGATCCAAGATTGCTAAAGACATATAGAAAGTTTGAAATTTTTGGTTTCTCATTTGGAATGATTCTTGTTAAACACATTTAATGTAGAGATAAACTTGGTTAGAGTGATGGGAGTTGATGGCACGTAATACATCGATAAAGAAACGATGTTCCTTAGAAAGGAAGTAAACAGCTCATTTTTGTATACAGTTCTATTTTGTGACTAGCCTGTTTTGTCCGTCATTCACAGAATATCAAAACAGTTGAAAACAGAAGACAGTTTAAGAGTTAATTTCCTAGAGTTGTTGATGGTTAATGACACCACAAAGTCAATTTTCGAAGTCTCACATAAAGTTCTGATCAACTTCCAGTTGTTACGACAGTTACAGTGAAATGTTAAAGAATGTCACTCCCCAGTCTTTAAACTTCAAGAATGCAGAGAGAAATATGGGGACAAGGCAAAAATGCAATCTATTTAAATGGCATTGGAGTGAGCGGTATGAAATAAAAGAAAAGGAAGTTTTAAACAACTTACGAACTTACATCATTAATATTTCTTTTTTCGAAAGTTTCTTTATCAGGGAACTCAATTAGACCATGAACATATGGCTGTTTTTATTTTCTATCAGTAATATGTTAGCAAGGGCTAAATGCACCATGAAATACCCAGAAAAAATTCGTAAAGTGAGACACTGGGACACAAAATTGCATCCTAATAAAAGCCGAGGCAAAATGAGAATATTGGATTAAAAAACAACAATAACAACAAAAACAAACTTGAGCCGCTGTCTGTGTTTCTTCCCACCTCACGATTCTATTATTCACCTCCCTATTACTCTCCTTTCACTATTTCCAGGCCCCAAGCGAACCATAACATTTGTGCACAGGCTTACCTGGTTTTGGGTTTCTATGGTAATGGCTTCCGGCCAGTGGCATTTACATAGCCGCTAGCAATGTAGTTCAAATATATTGCCTCTAGAATCTGTCCCTAGTAAAGTTAATATATTCGGCTCGCTCTTTCTAGTAAAGAAATGCGACAAGGCAGGCAGCTTAGGTCTCCAGATCCCACACCACCTCGTATTCGAGGCAAAAATGTTCTACCTTCTAGGTCCTAGGTCTTATTTTCATACCGAAATTCAACAGGCATTCTTCACATTTTCCGCCAGAAAGCCCCAAACGAGCGACTTTGAGGCTTTCTGGCAGAAAAAAACACTTCCAAATAAGTAATTAACTATTAATCTTTATTCTGAGCTTATTTTGTTTCGAAGACTGACAACCAGAGACAGATTCTGGAGGCAATATAAATTATTTGAACTACATTGATAAGACAGAGCTGAATAATGAAATGCTACGTCAGAGGTTATGTGGCCAACAACGCGGGCTCAAGTGTCCTAGGTCTAAAATTTCGCGAAATTAGCGGAAAATAATGAGGGCTGACTTTTAAAACCGAGGAACTCTGTTTTCGTTGAGGGCACTTTCCTATTTCCGAAGGTTTTAAGGAGTAAATAAATATTTGAAAATTTTTTAAGGGGTGTACCAAGTTTTTGGAGGTTGTTCTGTAAAAAGAAAAGCGGCAAGGAAAACGACGCCTCGAAGCAACAGAATACCATGCGAACGTCGCGAACGACTCAAAATCCGTGTTTCCGCGGCAAAACCTAGCGCATGCGTTTACGTTATTCAGCTCTGTCCATTGATAACGGCTATGTAAATGCCCTGGTAAATGCCACAGGAAGCCATTACCATAGAAACCCACATGTTTAAGATGGTAAGCCTGTGATTTGTGTTGACCAAATACTTTCAGTTTCGACTTCCGCTCATTTCTTCGATTGGTAGTTTGGCAGTCAGTTGCTGAATTGCTGTGAAAAAGCTTGGGAACTTTGATTAATCGCTTCAAGTCCTTGGCACTGATAGTAAATCTTCATTTATGGTGGTGTTGAGGTGAATTGCTGCCTGTAATCACGAAGAACCCTCCACCAGAAATTTCTGCCTTCGCGACTGATAATCACGCGATTTGAGATCAAGCATTGTGGTAAGATTGCTGATTTTTTTTCCAATTATGTCTGCTACCGTTGTTTCCGTGCACCTGGTGGCTCACTTCCAAAGATTCACTAGACAAATGCAATACCTCCTTGCGATAAATTTTTCAAATGGGCAATTTAACTGTTGACTTGACTTTGACTTCCACAAATCAAGATAAATAATTACGATCAATACTTACGTAGTTACTGATTGTTTGTACTTAATAAATGCCTCTGTTCAGACAAGTATAAAATCGCAGTGGTTTAGTTAGGGGTGCATGTGTACTAACTTATTTAGTAAAGAATGTAAAACGACATGCTCCATAAATTGGCAAGTTTACACTTGAAATCCCCGACTCTTGTGCCAAAAGTGCACTCTAGGGTAAGCGTGAAGTTTCATATATTTCCACGCAATGGTGTACGGCTTGCTGCGGTTATTGGCAGCGCGCGGAGTGTGTACTTGAGTAATGAGTTGTTTGGCGGATGAAGTAGTCACTTTCTGTTAGATACAATGGCCGTCTCCTCTAGTCAAAACTTACGGAAGAGTTACGCACTGAAGATAGTCTGCAAGGATTTAAGACTAAAATCAGGAGAACGACCGGACTGTCATAATTGATGATGGATGCAAAAAATGTATACTTCGTAGCAGTTAATTTTGAGACTATGACATTAATAAATAATTTTGATATATAAATAGGTTAGGTAAATTATTCTATTTGTAAATAGGTTTTAGATTTCTTACTTTTTTTAAGCATTATTACCCTCTGTGTCCCCAATTAGTGCTATGCGCTAGATTTTCTCGCGAGTGATAAATCAAGTTCACTACTACTATTACTTTCTAAGAAGGATCTCATTGTTAATGCGCCTCACATTGACCCAATCAGTTCACTTTTGCTGAAAGGCACTCTCATAACAACAGTCTCTTTAATCAGTCATCTAAAGAATTTATTCGCCGCCTGTTTTCAAGGAAGGCGACTCATTTTTCGATCTCGCAGAGGCCACCTCATCACCAAACCATTATTTTTAGAATTGAAACAAAAACTTGATAGCGTAGAATTCGTTTTTCTCTTCTCGTTTCCGTGCGGGATAGAATAGTTTCTAAAATGTTTAAGGTATTTTTCAACAACTTCTTGTCGTGAAATCGCGTAATTTTCCATGCAAATCAACATATGGAAACGACGCATGTTCAGCGATGCATTCAATGTGCGTGAGACTTTAAGAGAATATGATAGGTCACGCGATGGCGTTGAATAAATATAACCGTTTACGGTCGTGTCGATACAAAGTCATTTCGATAGAAGTTGACTCGGTACAAACTGAAGTTGATTTGGTACCTCGATTAAGTTGATTCAGTACCTCGATTAGGTCGATTCTATCCACGTAGAAAGTCGCTTCGTCACAACTTCAGCTACAAAATTGTGAAGGTTTCTTATCCAGACCTCCTAACATCCATATTACTTCTATATCTTTTTCAAAATGATGTTCATCGCGCGTGTAGCTCGACTTAAGGATTGCGCAGGGGGGGAAAGAAAATCGAAAGGGGGGGCGGGCAGTATGCAAAATTCATTGTTTCAGGGAGGTCAGGTAAAGTGTTATTCTTTGTATGAGCTATGTGGCCAAACGTTCGCATATGTGCGTTTATACTCTGAACATATCTAACGTATCCTTTAAAGACGAATTTGAATTTAAATGAAATGAAATTTAAATGAGAAAAGAAAAAAAAAAGGATAAAAAGAAAAAGACAAAAGAAATTGACGCAGCCTGGGCTTGAACCTTATACTTTCGGACTATACTTAAATGACTGAATGATTTGAGATTGATTTATCGATTAATTAACGCCCTGCAAGAAGACTGCATGACACCTTTCAGCACGGAGCTCCTTTGGGCCCTAACACAGGTGTTGAGAATACTGTTACCGGTATTTTGCCTTAGGTTGAAATAAATTGATTTCTAAAGTTGTAGATTTGGTAATTATTTTTTACTATTATAATAATACGAGTATTTTCAACAAAGGGTTGCAAGACACGTCTACAATAGACATGGCCGCTGCAAAAGAATATACCGATGAGCAACTAAACTACTACAAGATTTGTTGCGTCACAGCTGATATCCTAACCGAAGGTTTGCGGACAATTTTCAAACAAGAATGGGACAGTCGTTACAGGACGACCTTTGGAGAATGGAAAGATGATCCTGGTAATGGGACAGACTTTTACAATGCAGAGTCCCGGCCAAACCAAAGAAGGAACAAGCATCTATTGGCGACCATGATTAAAGGAAATAGAGCAGACTGGGACTGTACCATGCTGTTTTACGCCATTCTCTACTCCGATTGCATCTCTGGTCTAAACGCGGTAGTAAAAAAGAATGTTGACAATCTAAGAAATTTTCGCAATGAAGAATTTGCTCACATGCCCCAAGGTCAACTTTCGGAGTTAGAATTTAACACGGCTATTGGCAAAGTTTTCGCTGCATTCCAGGCACTAGGTCTTTCCACTACAGAAATTCAACAGATCGCAAACCAAAAGACGTTTCCGACGAAGAAGTTAAGAGATGTTTTAGACAAAGTAAACGATTTAAAAAAAGACTTACAAGAAAAAGAGAAAGAAAACATGGAAATTGAAGATCAGCTAAAGGAGATAGAGACTGAACGGCGGAATCTGAAAGATCAGCTGAAGGAAAATGAAAAACAACTGCAGGGTCTTAAAAATGAGATCGAAGAAACAGAAGGAAAACGAAAGGGCCTTGAGGATCTCATAGAGCGAAGAGAAAATGAACTGCAGGAAACAGATAAACACCGCAGGAACCTTAAAGACCAGCTAAAGAGAACAGAAGAACTACAAAGGAACCTTGAAGATAACTTAAAGAAAACAGAAGAGAGACGAAAGAGCCTTGAATATCAGTTACAAGAAAAAGAAAAACAAGTGAAGAGCCTTGAAGATCTGCTGAAGAAATCCGAAGACCAACGACAGGTTCTTTCCGAACAACTGCTGAACGATACTTCCCCATTTTGCATTCTTCCTCCTAAACCTTCACACGACCTAGCAAGTCGCGATGTTGAGGTTGCTGACATCACAAAACAGCTGCATGAGCTTAAGCGAGCTGATGAAGGCAACTTAAGCATCTTGTATATCTCCGGGAATCCTGGCAGCGGTAAATCGCAACTGGCCGGTCTTGTAGCCAAGAGATTTTACGAGAATGCCCGAAAAGACTCTTGCTCTGAAGTGTTTGTAATGACACTGGATGCGGAGACGTTAGGCACACTTCAGGAATCTTACATCACGCTCGCTCGACAAATAAAGTGCCCGGAACATGCTATTACAAGTATCCATAGCTCAAAGGATTTGAAGACAGAGGAGAAGATCAACACAGCCTGATATCCTTAATCAGCACAAAGATTGGTCAGTACGAGTCCTGGCTTCTGTTGGCTGATAACGTTAAAAGCTTATCTGAACTGCATGTTCATTTACCTCGGCAAGGACATGGACAGTGGGCAAGAGGGTATCTGTTGATCATAACTCAAGATACCTCGTGTATACCGTTACCAGGCACTTCCATTCAACACATCTCAGTAAGCGAGGGTATGCAGTCCCAAGAGGCCTCTTCTTTGCTAGCCCTGATTTCTGGTATCAGTGACAGTGAGCTGGGAGAAGCAGTAGCTAAAGAACTCGATAACCAACCCCTTGCGTTAGCAAGTGCTGCCACCTATGTGAAGCAACTTCGACAGAGCAAACGTTTTTCAGAGTTTGGTTGGAACGACTTTCTGAAAAAAGTAGAAAAAGGGCAACGTGATGCGACAGAGACTCTACTTGCAGAGATCAACCCTTGTTACAAGAAATCAATGACAACAGCAATAACACTAGCCGTTAGAGAAGCGATGGAATCAGACAGAATCATAGATCATGCCTTAACTTTTCTCTCCCTCTGCGCGTCACAGCCTTTGAATGAGGATATCGTGGTGAACTATATCGTAAACGTTGTGGAAGGAATAAAAGATAAAGAGATGATAATTATGAAACTCCAAAGATGTTCGCTACTTTTGTCACATGAAGATGAGTTTGGTGTCCACATCCGCATACATCAGGTTGTACACGATGTCGTTACGTCGTTGATTCAGGGTTATCTGGAAAGTCGTCACGTGAAAAATTTGAATAGCGCTGTGGCGGCGTTTAACCAGTTCATAGATATCAACTTACCAAATGAAACGTCAGGCTCAATTTTGAAAAGCTACGCCCTTTCCCTACATTTAAGATGTTTCATTCTTAATTTTGACAATGTACTTTCAGAGGTTGCCCTTTCCCGAATCGTCCAACCTAAAATGGAGAAGCTAGGCGAGATTTGTTTTGACCATTGTCATTTTCAGGCCGCAAAGAAATGTGACGAATTTTTATTACAAGCCGCTCTCAAAAAGTTTGGAACTGAGTACACCAATGTTGCATATTACTACAATAGGTTGGGTCAGGTTAACAGAAAGGTAGGCGACATTGAGAAGGCCAAGGAGTATCACCAACTTGCTCTGAGCATTTATTTGAAAAATCTGGGACCTGAGCATGTAACAGTGGCAACTAGTTACAGTTACCTGGGTTCTGTTCACTACAAACTGGGCAACTTTGAGAAGGCCAAGGAGTATGACGAACTTGCTCTGAGCATTAAAGAGAAAAAGCTGGGACCTGAGCATGTAAGAGTGGCAACTAGTTACGGTAACCTGGGTTCTGTTCACAAGGAACTGGGTGACTTTGAGAAGGCAAAGGAGTATCACGAACTTGCTCTGAGCAGTAATTTGAAAACGCTGGGACCTGAGCATGTAGAAGTGGCAAGTAGTTACAGTAACCTGGGTTCTGTTCACAAGAAACTGGGTGACTTTGAGAAGGCCAAGGAGTATCACGAACTCGCTCTGAGCATTAAAGAGAAAAAGCTGGGACCTGAGCATGTAAGAGTGGCAACTAGTTACGGTAACCTGGGTTCTGTTCACGAGGAACTGGGTGACTTTGAGAAGGCCAAGGAGTATTACGAACTGGCTCTGAGCATTCAGTTGAAAAAGCTTGGACCTGAGCATGTAAGAGTGGCAAGTAGTTACAGTAAACTGGGTTCTGTTCACGAGGAACTGGGTGACTTTGAGAAGGCCAAGGAGTATCACGAACTTGCTCTCAGCATTAAAGAGAAAAAGCTGGGACCTGAGCATGTAAGAGTGGCAACTAGTTACGGTAACCTGGGTTCTGTTCACAAGGAACTGGGTGACTTTGAGAAGGCAAAGGAGTATCACGAACTTGCTCTGAGCAGTAATTTGAAAACGCTGGGACCTGAGCATGTAGAAGTGGCAAGTAGTTACAGTAACCTGGGTTCTGTTCACAAGAAACTGGGTGACTTTGAGAAGGCCAAGGAGTATCACGAACTCGCTCTGAGCATTAAAGAGAAAAAGCTGGGACCTGAGCATGTAAGAGTGGCAACTAGTTACGGTAACCTGGGTTCTGTTCACGAGGAACTGGGTGACTTTGAGAAGGCCAAGGAGTATTACGAACTGGCTCTGAGCATTCAGTTGAAAAAGCTGGGACCTGAGCATGTAGAAGTGGCAACTAGTTACGGTAACCTGGGTTCTGTTCACGAGGAACTGGGTGACTTTGAGAAGGCCAAGGAGTATCACGAACTTGCTCTCAGCATTAAAGAGAAAAAGCTGGGACCTGAGCATGTAAGAGTGGCAACTAGTTACCATAACCTGGGTTCCGTTCACGAGGAACTGGGTGACTTTGAGAAGGCTAAGGAGTATCACNTTGAAAAAGCTTGGACCTGAGCATGTAAGAGTGGCAAGTAGTTACAGTAAACTGGGTTCTGTTCACGAGGAACTGGGTGACTTTGAGAAGGCCAAGGAGTATTACGAACTGGCTCTGAGCATTCAGTTGAAAAAGCTTGGACCTGAGCATGTAAGAGTGGCAAGTAGTTACAGTAAACTGGGTTCTGTTCACGAGGAACTGGGTGACTTTGAGAAGGCCAAGGAGTATTACGAACTGGCTCTGAGCATTCAGTTGAAAAAGCTTGGACCTGAGCATGTAAGAGTGGCAAGTAGTTACAGTAAACTGGGTTCTGTTCACGAGGAACTGGGTGACTTTGAGAAGGCCAAGGAGTATCACGAACTTGCTCTCAGCATTAAAGAGAAAAAGCTGGGACCTGAGCATGTAAGAGTGGCAAGTAGTTACAGTAAACTGGGTTCTGTTCACGAGGAACTGGGTGACTTTGAGAAGGCCAAGGAGTATCACGAACTTGCTCTCAGCATTAAAGAGAAAAAGCTGGGACCTGAGCATGTAAGAGTGGCAACTAGTTACCATAACCTGGGTTCCGTTCACGAGGAACTGGGTGACTTTGAGAAGGCTAAGGAGTATCACGAACTTGCTCTGAGCATTGATTTGAAAAAGCTTGGACCTGAGCATGTAAGAGTGGCAACTAGTTACCATAACCTGGGTTCCGTTCACGAGGAACTGGGTGACTTTGAGAAGGCTAAGGAGTATCACGAACTTGCTCTGAGCATTGATTTGAAAAAGCTTGGACCTGAGCATGTAAGAGTGGCAGCTAGTTACAGTAAGCTGGGTTCTGTTCACAATGAACTGGGTGACTTTGAGAAGGCCAAGGAGTATCACGAACTTGCTCTGAGCATTGCTTTGAAAGAGCTTGGACCTGAGCATGTATCCGTGGCAACTTGTTACAATAACCTGGGTTCTATTCACGAGGAACTGGGTGACTTTGAGAAGGCTAAGGAGTATCACGAACTTGCTCTGAGCATTGCTTAGAAAGAGCTTGGACCTGATTATGTATCCGTGGCAACTTGTTACAGTAACCTGGATTCTGTTCACGAGGAACTGGGTGACTTTGAGAAGGCTAAGGAGTATCACGAACTTGCTCTGAGCATTGCTTAGAAAGAGCTTGGACCTCAGCATGTAAGAGTGGCAACTTGTTACAGTAACCTGGATTCTGTTCACAAGGAACTGGATGACTTTGAGAAGGCTAAGGAGTATCACGAACTTGCTCTGAGCATCGATTTGAAAAGGGTGGGATCTGAACATGTAAGAGTGGCAACTAGTTACAGTAGCCTGGGTTCTATTCACGAGGAACTGGGTGACTTTGAGAAGGCCAAGGACTATCATGAACTTGCTCGTATCATTAGAACGAAAAAGGTAGGACCTGAGCGTATTTAAGTTCTGTGTTTCCCGTCTACCAAAAGCCCTGTGGGAGTCTGTTGATCCGGCTTTGGACATTTTAGAGCAAACCGACTCGTATCCTGATCGTGCTCTTCAGTTTCGTTTCCGGAAACATGCGGCTGAAGACGGTCTTGCTCCAGTGCTAATCGCTGTTTTGTGTCAAACCTCGTTTGAAAGTGGTATTCTATCCGCTAAAAAGCGAAAGACGAAAAACGAGTGAGAAATAGGAGGACAGAAATTGTTAGAATTAATCACAAGTTATTTTCTTGACCTCCGGGGTTCCCAGAGGAGAGAATGATAGGATTTATTTCGTGTTAAAGAGTTGCCGAATACAACTCACGAGTATTAATGTTAAGTTAAGATAGATAATAACAGCCTGCGTTCAGTATTTTTCTAGGAATCAAAACCTTTCGAACTGGGTGGAATAGACTTGTTTGAGTTCCCTTGTTTTGGTTGGCTTTTGTTTCTTGGCTTTTTTATAAGTTTCTACAAAACTATTTTGAAACAGAAACGCAAAATACCAACTGCCGTAAGACCGATTTCTGTTTTGGTCATTTTCTTTCTTATGCCGCTTTGTTTGTTTCTTTCTCTTTTATTAAAAGAGGGAAGTCAGTGATAGTCTTGACTTATTGTAGTCGATCTAATTTTCATGGTTTTTTTTCTAACATATGGAACGTAGGCTGTCGAAAAAATCAATAAGCCTTTGGCAAGGGCTGAACATGACGAAAACCATCAGTATTCGACACAGCTCTCTAAAGGTAGTATAAATTCATATGCTCGTACTTAACTAACTAAATTAAGGTGGTAAAGCCTGCTTACCCCCCCCCCCCCTGGATGGAATGCTAGTCCATCGTAGAGTTACTTCCAGCATTAACTTCGCCGGTACCCATTTAATTTTTCTGGGTGAAGAGAGGCACTGCGAGAGTAAAGTGTCTTGCCCAACAACACGACACAATGTCCACTGCCAGGTGCTCGAACCCAGACCACGCAATCCGGAGTTGAGCGCACTAGCCAGGAAGCCACCGCAGCTCCACTAACTAAAGTAACTAACTAAATTAATAAGCAACAATATTATTGATTAGGTTCGTACGCGTGTTAAGACACTTTTCCTGATATATCTTGGTTTTAAGTCAGTAAATTCATTGTTTTCTGTTAAAAAACAAACCAATCTAACCTTGCGATTTTTTGTTACCTCATACAGCTTTACCATGAAAAAAATGTTAAAGCCAGCACTAGTTCAACTTTTCAATTGTACGAAGTACACTTATTGCGTTAGGAAACTGTTTCTTTGATGATGCTATCGTTTTTACATAGTGTAAATTCATTTAGAAGTCAAACATCTTTGGTTTTAAATTTTTGTCGTTTTTACATCAGTGCATTGGTATCCTTAGCTCATTTAATAGCCAAACATCTCTGGTTTTTAATTCTTGTCATTTTTATATCATTGCCTTGGTAGCCTTAACTCATTTAGCAGCCAAACATCCTTCGTTTTTAATTTTTGTCGTTTTTACATCAGTGCATTGGTATCCTTAGCTCATTTAATAGCCAAACATCTCTGGTTTTTAATTCTTGTCATTTTTATATCATTGCCTTGGTAGCCTTAACTCATTTAGCAGCCAAACATCCTTCGTTTTTAATTTTTGTCGTGTTTTCTTCTCATAATTGTAAGCGTGGAGCTGAAAAGATATTCTTAAGATAACATTAAAAGTTTCAATTAATCGATTAATTTTCCTTCTTGGGACTTTACCTGAAGACTGTACTCTCGGAATGGATAATAAGTTTATTTCAAGACTCCATTTCACCTTTCCTAGTTTTCCTTCGTCTTATTTTCTAATTTTAAGTAGTGAATTTTTTTATATTATGGACACTTTCAAACTTGTAACTTCGCTCCTTTGTCTAAGGTGCTTTTCGCCTGTACTTGTGCAATAATATGTAGTGTTTAAATGGTAAACGCCTCAGTTGCAGAACCGGATCACAAACAAACAAGTACCCTCTATGGCTTTTCTGATTAGGATTTCATCGATTATTATAAGAAATTCAGGTTAAATTACTGTTGGAACTAAGTGTTGACTACTAATTCCTTGTCTCTTTGAGCTCCGCAAGAAGGCCACTAAGGATGATTTCCTTGTACTGGGAAATCGTATCGAATTTGTGTTCCTACAGGTAAAGCTATATTTTACAGAGCTGTTTTTCCCTGATTTAATAGCGTTCCCGCCGAAAAAAAAAACTGAAAGTATGGTGCAGCCGGAAAAGCTATAACAGTCACAGTTTAGAATAAACTTATCGACAACCTAGTAGTCGTACAATGTTTCCTGGCGAACAAACCCCGCAATCGAATGCATAGGATCGCCTTCATCCGTGAAGCCATTTTTTCTATCCAAGAGGTTATGGAAAACATAAAGAGAGTATTGTAAAAAAGTCCTGGAATTTTACTGATTGGAAAGAATACAAACCCTTGGTATGTTTTCTTAGTTCCTCAATCTGAGGATTCTAAAGTTTTCATGTTTAATCGCCAGATTCAAGACAGTACTTTGAAATCAAGTTAATTTTTTTTCAAAGTTCAGTGCAATTGTCAGTGCGCGAACTGTTACAGGAAAAGTAACGCAGTACGATATACAGGGGGGAGTGGGGTAAGTGAGCTGACGGTAAATAATTGAAATCAGCTTGACATGATACTCTACTGTGGGTTACCATCTATTATAAACTAACTGAGACACTATACGCATGCTCATTGGTCAAAAAGCTATGGTTCTGAGTACCCATAAACTCCTAGCTTTTTAACAAAATAAATAGACCGCACTTTTTATCACTTGGGATGTTCAAAGTGGTGGAAAACTCCATTACTTTGCTTTTGTCACTTGGAATGGGACACTACATCACTCGGCAAATCGCTCGCCAACAGCTCGTGATTCACACTTCTCTCATGTTCTTTGAAGAGTCTGCAAAATTAATTAAGTCGATAAACCGATTGAAAGTGCAGTTTATTGCTTGACTGATCATCTCCGTGAATCCCGTCTTAGCATTTAAAAGTCGTTTAGTTTAGAAATGATGTGATTGATTCCACTGTTGGTCGGTTGTAGGTAACTTTCACCCATTTGGGGCAACCCTTCATGCTATTTTACGGCTGTACATCATATTCAAGTCTAGGACTCTTTGAAGCAATTACAAAAATACGAAATTTAAAATTTAAAATTGTACATTGTATTGTCCACTCCTTACTCGTAACCCATTTGGTCTGAATTTGAACTAAAAAAACATAACTGAAATTCCCTGGCCATCAGCTCTTGTTTCGAAAAATCTGGTCTGACACCAAACGATTAAAAACAACAACAAATGTCGTAAATCCATGTAACGTTACCGAAGAAAATCAAGTGTGGATATCTTGGCGAAAGGCATTGTGCAAAGTGGGTGATGTGCTGGCTTCGAGGATCTTTTGACACAGTTCTGTCAGTAGAAGGCTTAAAAGGTAACTTTCTCGATTATAAATAAGGTCGATTTGGATCAATTTTGTACGTGTCTATTCTAGAAGAAAGAAAAGATCACAGTGAGTGACAAATCCCAAATTCAGCTCACAAATTTCTGAGGAGATCGCCTTGAAGTTTCTTAAATCAGTCATTCCCATTGACGGAGATCTAGGTGATGACTCAGAAATATCCATTTACGAGTTGTCCTCACTAGGGTGGAGAAAGGTGAGATGCACAAATCTATCTAAAGAGAGCACATCAATGATTGTTCTATCTACCTCGTCCCCCGTGAGAAACGACCACGAAACGCGCGCACGTGTTCTCTGGGAAGAGTGTACGGGTGTCTGGTAGGTGTGTTGTTCTTATAATCAGTTTAATTTAAAAGGTTATCCAAAATAAACTTAATTTTATAAAAGCCGTTTCAGCCAGAATCAGGGAAAATAGAAATGAATAATTACGTTATAAGCATTTCACAAATTCATATTCTCTGTAGGCTGTAGTATTGTTTAACCTATGTGGAAAAAACACATAGATAGGAAGAAGGTTTTGTTAAGTTTTTTTGGAGGTAGTTGCGGTTCGGTTAAGTCGCCTTGTGTTCGTTGAAGTGTTCTTTTCAAAACAGGATTCCTGCAAGTCGTTAAGTGACCTTAAAAAAAGTAAGCTTGTACGAAAGGCAAGTAGTCTTGTACATCAGTTGGTTTGTAGTTATAAATCAAAGATGCTCTCTCTTCCTCTTCACTGGAGAATCGATGAGTACTGTGGCGCGCTGCAGAGAACAGACAGGAATTACTATCATGATTACAATTAGAGCTCATTAGCAATTCGTTTTCCTGTCTGCCATACAATTCTAATGGTGCTAGGTTTGGGGAATTTGGTATTGGATCAGCTAATAATCCCCCCTATTGATAATGTTCTTTATTCTCATCACTTGTCTGCTTGAAATTATATTGAAATTGTAAGGAGAAAGGCTGTCCTGGTTATCCCAGGGAACTGAGTAAAGGAACAAAGTATCTACAAGTTTTGCATAATACTACCAGCTCGGAAGAGAAAATGTCTAGATCGAAGTACTCTCATCAGTTTACGGTACTACAAAATTTACATACTATACGATATAAAGAGTGATTCCAACTCAATTTGATTATAAGCATAACAAGCGCCAAAATATCCTAAAGAGTTCAAATGTAATTCGTTGTTCGTTGTGACATGTTGCGTGATATACCGGTTGAGGGACATGTTACTTCGTCACGGATACCCTGTATGTAAGGAAGCTTCTTCGTGAATCATATGCTTTGAATAAAAGAGAATGTCGCCTGAAATTTTGCCCTTTTTTTCGTTGTATTTCTGCATTTTGATGCACCCTTTTGTGTAAATAGATTGCTGAGTTTTTTTGTCAGGGGATGATCGTAGCAACGGTCGCACTTTTATCTCCCAGTTATGGTTATTTTTTGTCAAGGAAAAGGAACTAAAACCTATTCTCAAGCTCACCTTTTTGAACGAGGAAATTTGCGAAATACTGGCCTGCCACAACATCTGCAAGCGAGTGATTTATGTCCAGATATCTGCGCCATTCAAACTGAGATTTAGCCGGGTGCCAGTGGAGAAGGTAGACTGGGTAATGCTTACCTAAAAGTGAGGTAAACCATTTAGATTTACCAAAGCATTTGATAAAGAAGCTCTTCTTACATTTTCATTTATTCATTTTTCTCTTTTTTTTTTTTTTGCCACAAAACATGCCACGTAAAAACTTTGCAATTGAGTAATTAGAGAAGAATTGTAATATTACATTTATTTACAAATTTTCAATGACCACAGGAATTGAGTTCGTTATTTTGGGTTCCTCATACGTTTGATTCCTACCTTCCAAAGTTGAAATAAATTCAACGCCCTTGCGATCTTTGCTGGTAGAAACAATTCTGAAAAAGGTATTCAGGCGTCTGTGCTTGCGATAATTCTGTCGCGAAAGAACAGAGAAGTATTGGTCAATGTATCAACTGAAACATGTTAGAGCATAAAGACTCATCCCGCCATAACACCCTCTGATCAGTATGCATATTCTCTTCACTGTTCTCTATACATTTCCCAAGGTGCTGACAAGGAGAATTTCCATTCCAGCCTCAGCTAAAAATAATGACGGATCCCTTAAAACATCACTATGAATTGTGCAAAAACAAAAATTAAATAATCATCAATTATAATAGTAACTTAGATTCCTCTTTCAAGAATGCAAGTAATAAATTTCGTCTAACCTGTGGGGTAATGGCCAATTTGTGGTTGTTGAATGTTGAATTGTTATTCTGTAGGAATTTCACAACGTTTCTTGGAGCAAATTTCCACAGAGAAGCTGTTTTGTAATCTACAGAACGAAAATACGTTGTATCAGTAGGAGTCACACTAATATCTGTGTCTATTGGATAGCTTAATCCGAACTGTGGTCCCCCTCTGCTGCAAATCTAATATACAGAGTATTTTGATCTCAAAGGGGCGATGCCTTTTACGGCTAAAGGCAGGTTAACATTTTAGCCATTTTACGGCCAACGGTTAATTATTTTTGCTCTTTTACGCGGGCTAAAGGTTAACCCCATAATATAATCTGTACAGTTCAAAGACACCTGTTTATACATGGGTCAATGTTCAGTGGTCAGATATCCACCAGAACGGGAGCTAAGCAAATTGCTACGAGTTCGTTTGAAGTAAAAGAATAATGAACTTACAGGAAGAGTTTTAAAAATGTCCAGAGGGTTATTCTGCAAACTATTTTTTTTTCGGAATGTCTCAGGAAATTGAATCCATCTTTCTTTCAAAAAATAATAAAATAAATAAAACAGGGGCGGTGCTGCTATAATAGAGGATACGTTTACTGATTGCTGAAATTATCATTAGCATAACCAATAAAACAGATGTGTAACGTTCTT